TTATAGGGATCAAAACTTACCTTTTCGAAAATTTTAGCCAGAAAGAAGGCTCCCGAAAATTCTAGGTGACCTTTTTAGGGTTAAAATCCGTTAACAATAGGTAATTATACCATTTTTTAGATGTCCGAAAATCCTAGGAGAGGCAGGCAAGCAAGAAATTTTATAACAAATGTTCCGAAAATTCTAGATCTCAAATCGTCTTCCGAACAGATATTTTTCCGAAAATTGTCGTTGGGTGCCCCTACTGAAAGTCTAGTGATCCGAAAATTATAGGGATCAAAACTTACCTTTTCGAAAATTTCAGCCAGGAAAAGGCTCCCGAAAATTCTAGGTGGCCTTTTTTAGGGTAAATATCCGTTTAAAATGGGTAATTATACCATTTTGTAGATGTTCGAAAATCCTAGGAGAGGCAGGCAAGCAAGAAATTTTACAACAAATGTTCCGAAAATTCTAGTTCTCAAATCGTCTCCCGAACAGATATTTTCCCAAAAATTGCCGTTGGGTACCCCTGAATGATCGATCCTTTTACAGCTGTTTGTGGATAACACCAGACTTGCGATGCAAAAACGTCTTTGGATTTTGTGTTTTTGTAATTTGAATTTGGAGCATGCTCAATATGAATTGTTGAGGAGTTCGGCAGAGGTTCCTTCCTCTTCCCGACTTATCGAGGAAGATCGAAGGAGACTCTGTTCGCAGGGTATGATTCACTTCGACTTGGTGAAAAACAACATGGCGGCACTAAAAAATGAACGCCTAGCTAAAATGTGAAATCTCGGCAACGTGAACTGCAAACGCGTATCTGCAAACTGCAGTTTGCGGTTTGCGGTTTGCGGTTTGCGGTTTAAAGGTCTCTAATAGAGAGATTAAGCTTCGCGTTTACGCCAAACGGTAAACGTGAATTTGTACCACGTCAAGTTTCCCCCTTATTTTTCGGTTACTGTTTGTCGCCTCTACACAAAAATTTAATACCTCTTATTAGCCGAGTTTTCGGTGCGAACTGTAAATTACTGTAAATTTAAATTATTACTGTAAATTTATGGCCCGCGCGGGCCATAAATTACAGGCTAATATGGCGTCTTCCGGGTGGGGGACCCGAAACAAGTGCAGGACGCGCGATTTGACAGTCATTTGACAGGCGTCAAAAAAGAAAGTTTTCATTGGCTCACGAAAACAATACACCACATAACAAAGGGTTTCCGAGAAAGTAAAAACAAATTGATGATGATGATGATACCTTTATTTAAGTGTCAAAACTGTAATAGCGGTGTATAACCACTAAGTGGGGACACTAAAATAAATTTTAAAAAATAAATCAATAAATAAATTAATTAAAATTAAGAAAAACTATGTACAGTATAGGCAAGTAAGAAATTCGAGAGAACTATATACAATATGTACAAATGTATCCATTATCTTATAAAAAATAAGAAATAAAAGACTAAGAAGTGCAAAGAGAACAGTTAGAGCAGTTATTGTCATCTAATAGCATGCTAAGATCCACTTTTCTGATGTTATATTTGAAGAAGGACAACGTGGAAGCTTTTTTCACGTTACTAGGAACAGAACCCCATACCTTTGGGCCCATATACCTGAGCGAGTGCTTTCCCAAAGGAGACTGTGTTGAATCTGGGTATAGTGAAGTCATGATTGCGCAGTTCATACTTAATTGCAGGCTGTTCAAAGAGAGTGCTAATGTATGTTGGGCACATGTTGTTTTTAACTTTATACATGAGAATAGCTATGTCCTGTAGTCGCCGGTTGTGTATAGTAGATAGCCCGACAGTAGATAGTAATTGACCATAGGACGAATGTTTATCACAATATATAGCCCTAAGTGCTCTTTCCTGGATACGCTCTAGTCGTGTAGAATCACTAGCACGGCAAAAATGCCATATAAAGTGACAGTAGGTTAGATACGGGAGAACAGCTGCCTTATATAACTGTAACTGAGTTTGTGTGGGTATAAGGTTCCTGAGCCTCATGAGAACGCCTACCCGCTGCGCGCTCTTCTTAGAGATACTACTTATATGTTCATCAAAACGAAGATTGTTATCAATACAGACACCTAATAGCTTGAGACATTCAGTGGATCTGACTTCATGATTGTCAATCATAATACTGTCCATAGACTTCCTTCCGCAACCAAGTGCCATTGTCTGGTACTTGTCCAAATTTCCCTTTAGTAAATTAGCTCTGTACCATGAAGAAGCTGACTCAGCGCAAACAGCAAGATCATCATGCACATCAGAGAGGGTGCTGCGAACGACATAAAACTGGTGGTCATCTGCATACATATTCATGTTCGCATCAACAGTATAAGTCAAATCGTTTTGGAAGATGTTCCAGATGAGAGGTCCAAATGCAGAACCCTGTGGGCATCCCCTGGTCACCCTCTGCCACTCGCTCACTACAGATCCTAGCTTGACCCTGTTATAACGGTCTGTGAAGTAGGAGCCCATCAATCGCAGACTTCTTTCCTCAACACCATAAGCTTTAAGTTTTGCAAGTGTAAGTGGATGGTAAAGTGAATCGAAGGCTTTGCTCATGTCCGTGGAGGGAACACCAACAACGTTATGATCATCCAGAGCGAATTTCCAATTCTCAGTCAAAGATAAGAGAGCTGTCTCAACTGAGTTGTTTGCTGAGTAATTGTTCAAAGAGTTTGTTTACACTAACTTGTACAGTTATGGGTCTGTAGTTTCCCATTTCATGGGGATCTTCCTTTTTAAAAACGGGTGTCCATTCACCCCTTTTCCATCCCAAGGGCCACTCTCCGAGGGTTATACATGAATTAAATAGTGACGTCAATGGATTTGTTAGCTCAGTAGCTCCAAGCTTGAGCGCCATGGGAGGGATGCCATCCCAGCCTGTACTCTTCCTTACATTGACGTTTTGCAGTGCCTTTTCAACTTCAGAACTCTGAAGATTCTGAAACTGGAAGCCTTGATATCCTGTCATCTTGTGCGTAATATTCTGGACACTAGGGTGGGTGGCGAGAACTTTGTCATCAACCGCACTGGTGTCTTCAATCCCATCAGCCACAGTAGCAACATATTCACACAAGTGATTAGAAACCGCACATTGGTCTCTGCAGATGGTCCCGTTGATACTTAGGCTGAGCTCATTTGTGTTGACCTTGTGCTTATCAGTCCGAAAGGGCATAAATGTCTTATAGAACTCACTCGGCTTGCACTTAAGCTTAGTGGCTTGCTCTTTCCAATATGTCCTTATTGCCTTTCTCCGGAGTCGGATGACCTCGTTTCTGGTTATCCGCCTAGCTTCCCAGTTCTCACTGGTTTGTTCCTTGAGATACTTTTTTGCTGCCCTCCTCTTAGCTCTTATAGCACCTTTCCATTCTTTAGTCATGTATGGAACATCCTGAGCACTAACCCGCATCTTCTTCGTAGGCATATGTGTATTGACAATACTGGACAGAAGCATTTCCATAAAATTTGCCTTGTCGTCACATGAATCGAAAATTTCACTAACATGCCATGTGTAAGCGCCAGGAATGTTTTCCGTTACCTTTATAGTATTTTCATGTTCGCCGCGTTCTTAGTTATGTTCGTGTTCGCGCCTTTAGTGCTGTTGTTTGGTTCATTAGTTTTTCATTGTCCGCGTAGCTTTGTCCTTCGTGTTAGGATTTTTCTGCATATCGTATATTTAGCTTTTATTGTAATTTTTCGCGTCAGTTCTTCGTTTAGCTGCGCTTGGTCCGGTTTACAGTTTAATGTTTGGGTTTTGCTCGTCCTAGTTTTTCGTCCTTATCTCGCTATCGTCTTGTAAGTATCTCGTTTGTTTCATTCGCATTTCTAGTTTGCCTTATTGCTTTCGTTCAGTTTGTAGGTTGTTTCATCTCGACTTTGTATTTGTTTAATTGTTATTTTTCAGTACCGCTATACTTCGCTATACTTCACTATACTTCGTTATACTTCATATCGGTTCACTTGTTTCCCTACACCAGTTGTAGAAGTTCTAGAATAAAGTTTGTGTGTTAAAAACTATAGCGCGTAAAGGCTGCGACTATACCATGGAGCATACATTAGATCTTCTTTGTATTTCTCCACATCACAATCCTTTAGAGATTTAAATGTTACAATCTTGACTTTCTGGTATTTTACCGTCTCATTCAGGAATCCATAAACAAGTCCGTGGTCACTGAGCGCAGGATCATGTACCCCACAATTCTCAAATAGTTCCGGGTGGTTAGTGAGAATAACATCGATCAAGCTCTTAGTGATAAGAGAGCCTCTTATTTGTATTCGAGTGGGTTCGGTTACCATACATTCGAGGCCCTGTTCCACCTCCAGATCAAAAAGTAGCTTTCCTTCGGGGCTGCTGGGTTCCATCCTGTTCAGGTTTAGGTCGCCTGTTATTATAACCGTCGGATATTGAAGGCTAGCCCAGTTGGCAATATGACTTAATTCCTCCTCAAGTAGAAGTCTGTATTTACCAGTAAGCTTCTTAGGCGGTCTGTAGATAACCAGTATAATCGCATTTCTCGATTTGAGGCCAATATCCAAGGCCAAAGGCTCAATAGTTTTAAAACACCTGTCAAAGGTGACTCTCTTGGAGAGTATCTTAGATGAGACAAACGAGAGAACACCACCTCCACCCTTTTTTCGGTCATTTCGGTGCAAGTAGTACCCTGGTATTAGGAACTGGGAGTCTGGGTATGAACGATCAATTTTAGTCTCACTGACAGCCATAATTTGCACCTTATTATTTATAATAATATCTTTCAGCTCATCAGATTTGTTCTGAATGCTGTTTATATTTAGGTGACATAATAACATGCCCTTGACATTTTTCTGCCTTGCCGCATTTAGTAGGTCGGGACCAGTAAATGTGATGGGTGTAGTTCCATTTTCTCGCTGATCAGTCAGGGTGATATTATTTGTGTCAAGATCAGTATCCGAAAAACAGGCCTCGTTGAGCATTTCAGCATCCGAACACTTGTAGAATGGCAGAGCCGCCCATGTGCATCTATTGCATAGCCAGTTGTTCACCATTGATTTCAGGTACACACACTTTAAGTGAAAACATCCCATATAATTGGCACATGAAATGTTCTTTTCGTTCCACCTAATTGTTTTCTGACAGTGATCGCACTTTGCCGCTGTTGGTTTCGACCTGGATAATTTATTATTGGTGCTTTCCGCCTTTCCCTGGCTAGGCCCGGGATTTTTTTTCACATCACCGCTTAACAAGAGCGCTTGAGTAGCCATAGAATTACTGTAATAGGCAATGCGTGTTTTGGAATATCGTAGCTTACGCCATTTTGTGAATAGACCAGGATCTACTGTTCCATACCAGGCGCGAAAAAGAACAAAGGAGATGTTTTGATGGTTACGCTCCATCACCAAGAAATTCTACGCACTCTTGAATAAAGACCCATTGACTGCAGGCGTTAATTCCAAGAGATCTTCATTGCGGAGTACTCTTGGGACGACCTTCCACTCTCGTATGCAAATACGGAACTCCATTACGAAATCTTTCCAATCTTGGGCTTGAAACGTCCAAACGTCTCTTTTATAACCATTTAAATCAATTTTGGTGACTGCCAATTGAGAGATATTACCTTTAGTAAACTGCTCGTTGAGTTCGAACACATTAGGACGGCAAGTTGCGGAGTATACAAGACAAATTACGGAGAGCAAAATCCGTGTCTGACCGACATTGTTATGCATACAATGAAAAAGTTTATTCGGTCAAAACTAAGAGCACGGTAAGTTTTAGCTCTTTTTAGTTCTGGAGTATTTTGGAAACCGGACACTGTCTCTGTCTCGAAGTCGTTTCCATCTTTCCTCCGTTGGTCCTTGAAAAAAAAAAAAACACTACAAAAGGCAAAGAAGCTTTTCAAGGTAAGTTTGTTGTCATTGTCGAAGGATTCGCTCGTTAATTTTTTTTGGGAAAACCTCTCGAATTACTGCCAGGTCACTCTCGTCGTCAATTGTGATCTGCATTAAAATTTTCAAACACTGACTAGAATTCTCTTCCTCGGTAAGGTTACAATTTCTACATCAGCTTCGTTCTCATGAAAATAAAGCTAGGTTAAAATTTGGAAAGACAAAGTCAACATACCAGTCAAAGGAGGATTATGCAGTCTTCCCATGATGCATTTCGCCATAATATATTGTCGAATTGGTTTGTGGCGTCATCATTTTAAAGACGGGGGTATGGATATTTTCTGGAACTACGCAATTCGAAAAAAAAAAAAATTTCTCCGGAGACTTCATGGAGCACCAAAGATTGTGATCGATGCTTATTATTTTAAATGATTGTTGACAAGTTTTCCCCGACATACTTGTATAACACGACACCTCTCAAATGATCACGCAGTTCACAGCTAACTGCAGAAATCTTGATGTACTGCGTCGTTTCTTTGTTACTTGTTCGTAAATGTCTATAAAAAGGGGAAAATATCTTGTTTTTCCAGTTTTTTTCTTCCTTTACATCAAGACGAAAGATCATGATAACTTTATTTATCCATCTTTTAAAAATATATGCAATGGATTTACGATACTATAAAATGCTGTCAAGTGATTATTCTAATAAAAAAAAAGTACTAAAGAAAAGTAAGTAAGTAAGTAAAAATAACAGATCATTAAAGGAGTCTTGCAGCTCTTAATTGCTATGAATGAATTTGCATGTCTTTGTGTCCCTGACTTTAGTATTGTTACTGAACCTAGTTTGGATCTTAAGTTATAGCCGTGGCTGGTATTTGGCTTAGTGAGAACATTTTGATTTGGGTGGTTAATATAATTTACAACTCTTTCTAATTCACGCTTTGTTGCTATGTTGCACCTGTCCTCTAGCGTTGGAAGGGATGTTCTTGGTATCCCGATGATATCTAGAGCACCATTTAAAGACGAAACATCAAATTGACTGGGACTCTGCGACATGTATAACGTATTCTACAGATTACTATCAACGTCTTACTTTAGAAAGCTGGTTTACTAACTCAGAACAAACGCCACTGAATCGTAGCCAACAGTTACCAGCGCCGTACAAACGACTTATTGACAAGATCAAGCAAAACTAACTACGAGAGAACGACTGGAGAACTGACAATTTGACTAACAATAGACGGATCGAAACGCACCAATTACTGATTACGAGTCTTCATAGCCAATACCATCACGGTTTAACTGACAGACGACCAATAACATCGCGACGTAATTGACCAATCAGATATCAATAACCAGAGTATAATACCCGGGTATAATACCATCAACTGACGTGATACAACTCACTTTGACTCTGAAGATGACTACCGCACAGGTTGTCGAAACGTCAGTCACTGTCAACAACAACAGTCCTATACGGGACTACGTTCACCCGGTCGATCAAACCCAACCTACTTTTGGTTTTATATTTAATGATGCAAAGCCACCGCCAAAGGCATTTGCTGAGAATTTGGTGTAACACGAATCCCACCCCAGCTATGCGGGTTACCCCATCTTGAAACGTTTACGTGGCAGAATTTAAACGCCGGCTGAGAGGGTTACCCGGTCTGCCAGACTGGGTAACTAGCCTGGGTGGGTCACCTCACCTACCATTTAAACAGGCGTGATCAAATTAAAAATTATATTTAACAATTATTCCTCGAGCCCGAATGGGCTCTGAGTCAATAACCCATGAGGCCGAAGGCCGAATGGGCTATTGACTCAGAGGCCATGAGGGCGAGAGGAATAATTGTTTTAGTAAAATCCAACTAGTTGGTCAAAAATATCGAGAATAAAATAATTTTAGCCAGTTAAAGCTAGACCTTAATCCTTTTTTGCCGCCAAAACAACGGCGCTTTTCCCTACTAGTGGGCTATAACATATAGCCTAGTAGTAGCTCAACCAATCAGAACGCAGCATTGATAATAGACCACTAGTTGGATTTTACTAAACAGTATTATCTGGACAGGCGGGTTACTTCTTCTAAGTGGATAACCTCGCCTACCTGGGATCGTCCACCTTCATGTCAACAGGCCCTTATTGTATATAGCTACAAATGAAATACCAGGTGAGCTTTCGCTCGAAAACCTGATATCTTCACACTTACTTGAAAATAACATGTTATTTTCACACGTGCAAAGATGACCATTGCTGCGGTTGCATGGTAAATGGCGCTTTTCTCACCCAAAAAATGTTAAAGAGAAATGGTTTAGTATTTCATTGGTGTTTATATACTGAATACAACATTACATGGCCGCGCTCTGATTACATAGGTTGCTGCCCTCGTTCGTGAAATATTTTTCAACACTCGAAGAGTATCTTCGCGCGGCCATGTGATATCCTCTGTATATCAAACGTATACCAGTCGCAACTGTTCTTCTGTGTTGACTCCTATTTTACCAAACATTTCAGTATCGAAAACTAAACTTATTTCCATTCCTTACGGCAGTTATTTTCTTCTTTGATCTCTTTCTCTTCGTAGAAAGATGTTGGGAAATGTGTTCATTTAGCTTAGTGAAAATGTTGCCAGAAGGTTAACGCAAACACTTCCCGAAGAATTCGTCAATTATAACAAGTCGTTTTTGAGTCGAGTGTACCCGGCTGGAAAGCGAGTGGACTCGAGTAACTTTAATCCACAAGACATGTGGAACTGCGGCTGTCAAATGGGTGAGTTATATTATTGGCCGATTAATGTTGCACTCTATAGAGCATTTTCACATGACATCACGGCGGCCATATTGGTGTTCCAAAACAATAAAACGGCGGCCATGTTGGTCTACCAAACAAATCCTGTGGGAGTTGAACTCTTTTCTTATGTCAACGCTTCCTTTTGTTTCAATAAATTTGCATAGATGCTGGTCACGTGACTGAAAACGCTCTATACATGTATTTGTAGCTGAGTGTTGTATCGGATTGCAGTTCTGGGACTTTTCCGGGGGACGCCATAAATTCTTTCATTCATTATTACATAGTAATGCCGGACAATGGGTCAAAATTCGTTCCCCAAAACAGTCCCATGCTGCAGTTCGAGACAACACTGACCCAGTCTCTAGCACAACCTTCGCTTTTCACTTCACTTCAAATGATTGTCGTTCATTGATCAAACTTAAGGATAGAATGTTTCTGGTCGTTCAACTCTAAGAAAGTCATGATGGCAATGCCAAAGAGAAACTACTACCTTTAAACTACTTTGAAATTGTTCCAGTTTGTTTAGTGTGCCTTACGTTGCGAGTTAAGACACTTTTTCAGGTTCATAAAGTTAAGTTTCGTGTCTTTGTTCTCCAGAAAAAGTTGATCATTGACGTTTTCGTTTATTGAAAAGGCATGCAGAGAATGACCAAAATTTAAAGCGCAAGTGAAGAGTATTTTTTGTATCGTAACCTATGGTTCTGTTCTCGCTTCCTTTGCCTTTGTGGTTACTTAACCTCCATGTTGTGTTGCGTAATTCTTTATTTCCCGGTTTTTTTCTTTTTTCACCTCTAGTGGCACTAAATTAAAAAACGCCCGGTCTTAAATGAACTTAAGTGATGGTAAATTTCTTGAAAATGGTGGCTGTGGATATGTTTTAAAACCCTCGGTCATGAGAGAAGGTAAGGAAACAAATCAAATTGATCCCAAGAGAAGATTAAACTTTCTTGTTAGTATTATTTGCTGAATAGGACACAAAATCATGGTCCACTCCGCACGTGGTTTGTCATGCAAGTTTTTCTTTTGAGGTTTGATTGTCTTAGCAGATGCCTTATTGACATCTTAGGGTTAAATGCAGACTAAATGATATCTCTATTATTGTGGTTCTTCTTCAGAAGTGGCATATTTTAACTCCAATACAAAGGATGTCATTCCAGGTGTTTCACAACAAATTCTTCAAGTGAAGGCGAGTGAATAATCTATCCTTTGGGATGTGTGACAGTCTCTTTCGCAGTCTCTCCTGGGACAGAGCACGTTGCATCAAGAGCAGGCTGGACGAGAGTCGCGGAGCAACGTTACTACGCGTTTGTCCTTCCCAATATCCTCCGCGCCGCACATTACTTTTCAAAGTAGACCAATACTAAATGGTAGGAACTGGGAACAAGGTTTGGGGGTGTGATGCGAAAACTCATAATTCTCACGGTACAGTGTTGTTTTGCCATATGATGTAGTTATGTTAGGGCAACTCTAATTTATAGTTTTCTTCATTGTAAATACTATAGGACCACTAAGGTTTGCTGGGAGCTAATTACATCTAGTGTCCATCTTGTGTTTTATGTTCTTTCCTGTACTATCAAGTTAGTCAGCTGTTCTGAAATTCACCGTTTTCTTTCAGTGGTAGGTGATAAGTGGTCAGCAGTTTCCCAAGCCAAAAGGCTCGACAGCAAAGGGTGACGTAAGTTTCATGCTTTTTTATTGGTCATGTTTATTATGTGTCTTGACATCGTTGACCTTGCCTACGTGTTAGGTGGCGCTCAAAGTACTGCCAAGAGGAAAGACCGGGTGTGTGCGAGGGGAGCGCGAGGGGCTCGCGAGGAAGGAAAGAAGGATCGAAAAGATAATCCTTCCTCCAACTCTGCCTACACCTCGCGTTCTCATGCGCCTGATTTCACTTTCAGAACACCTGCTTTGTAAGCTACAATCGACAACAAAATTAGTTGAGACTCTTTGCCTTTAAGAGCCTCTCTAACGTTTTGCCAACTTAAAAAAGAGAAACTATTTATTTTCTCATCTTCACCCTCTCCGAGTAATGTTGTGCTGCTCTTCGAGCTACCTGTAGAAAACAACAAACACCCCAACGTTGAATGGAGGGGACAGGGGAGGGGTGAGAATTTTTTTGTTCCCCAAAGGACCCCATTTGATGATATGTCTTGGCAATTTTGTCGCCGATTGTAGTAATGACTGTAAATGCCCTCTTTTTGTGCAGGTGATTGATCCGTTTGTTACAATCGAGATATTTGGTATCCCAGCTGATCTTTCACAAGAGCGGACCAGAGCTGTTCCTCACAATGGTAAGAACCGCGGCAACGAAAACTGAGTTTTGCTTGTACATTTTCATTAACTGCTTCGCGGGAATCCCATACATGAACAGTCCTGTAGTAGAGTAGTTGTAGCCGTGCAATAACTTCTGCTAATTGTTTATCGAGGTTAATACCACTCGGCTTAACTTCATGAACTTCGTGCTTTACATATAAAACATTGCCCCGGAATGGGTTTCATATGTGTTTAGCACTTCTTGATCTATCTTGCTAAGATCGGGTGAATCTTTTCCGAAAGGAAGACATGGGTTTCATTGGTAACAGCCAAAATTTTGATTTTGGAAGGTCAGGTGGGGAAGCTGTTCGAGAATTTCTGCCTTCCATACTATTCACTGGTTCTGTTTCTTACTCCCTTTCACTTTGAATTGAAAATAAGGTTAAATTCAGTCTCCGCTTTCATAAGGTATATCCACGATAATGCTTCGAGAAACATTTTGATTGATCAAGTTCTCTTTCCGACAGGTTTTAACCCTGTATTCGACGAAACGTTTGAGTTTCATATCAATCTTCCTGAACTAGCCTTGTTGCAGTTTGTGGTACAAGATGATGACTTCATTGGTGATGGCTTTATCGGACAATACACCATTCCGCTCAGCTGCATCCAACCAGGTGAGAATTAGGATTGGACAATTCCTGGATTGTGCTAATTACCTGAAAAAACGACCCCTTTGATTTGCTTCAAGTCAATAAGCCTTAGTTGGGACGTTAATATAACGCAAACTATCGCTATTACGACCTAATTCGGCAGCATAACAAATGTAAGACAACTAACCAGCAAATAATTAACCCCACACTACCAACGGCTAATCTTAAATCACTCATGTTACTTCACGCTGTTCGGCTTCGCCACTCGCTCGCCCACGCACTCGCTCATGCGCTCGGCTAAGACTAACTTCAGGTGAAAGGAGTCTTATGCTTTAAAATTAGAGAGTTTTAGATTCTAAGACAAGGACTACTACAAGGTTACGTAGTGCACGCGCGTGAACAAGCGTCATTTTGGCTGGAAAACGCGATCGCTGTCATCATTCTTCAACGGGTTTTAGCGAAAATGTTCTGTTTGCGGAAACAAATCATATTATGTTACAAGTTTAATCATTTTGCGATCGGGAGAGATCTACAGTAACCACCTTCAATGAAAATATCCGTGCTAACTTTTCTGATTTAAACAAAAGACACAATGAAGCTTTCAGCGGTGTATATTTTTTGAGAATACGCGAAAAAGCTTTAAGTCAATTCTCGTCCTGGAATGTAGAGGTCTATTAGAATTTCTCGAGGTACTGGCGGAAGTTAAAGCTGTCGCTTCAATGCAGTATACTTGCATCTGCATACACAAAATGGTTTGTTTAGTAATGTAATCATTTTTTATTAATGCTTACTCTGCATCTCAGGTTATCGTCATGTGAAACTCTTATCATCTCAAGGAGAAGCCCTCGATTCCGCCACCTTGTTTCTGCACTTGACTGTCACCAATCTAAACGACGCTGTAGCTGTAAGTCTCTTCAAGCTTGGTTTAGTAATTCTCACTGATTACGACAAATGACCTGCTCATCATTAGAGTTCACAGTACTGAGTAGCTCAGTGCTTAGAGCATCCACTAGTGTCTGGAATGGCGTGGATTCAATTCCCATCTGGAGATCAGAAAAAACTCAGAAACTTTTTTTGATTGCCATACATCTTTTTTTTTCACTTTGGTGTCAGGGAATTTGATTTTTCATTGATATTGTTTCTTTGTTCGGTATGGTCTTAATTTACTCTTTATGTTGTGTTATTGTTTGAAGCAAAAACCAAGGAAAGCATCTTTAAGGAAATCGAAAAAGGCGCGTGAGGTAACTTAGCTTTCTGTTAATGATAACAATAATAGCTAACTTGCTTCTTTGTCGTAATCCCTGAGAGCAACCAAGCTCAGAGCGAGAATCCTCAGCTAAGCACTGGTTGTTGTTGTTGTTGTTTTCTCGCGAATAGTGCTCTTAGTCCTGCTACTTCTCGTCTACTTACTCATATGATTTGTTTAGTTTGTTGCACACTGTGTATGCTCAATACTGGTTGCGTATTTTTCCGCGCGTGTAATGTTTTCCGGCGTGTAACACTGTTGTAATGCTGACCTGCGCTCAAAATGGCCCTAGTATGTTACATAGTTTTCCAATGCCCAGCGGACATGACACAAAACGCTCTGGGGACGGCACAGTTCAAATAAATATGGTTCTTTCTTCCTCTTAGCAGCAGTATACTTTAGCGTTTCTCCACGTTTAGCATTGCAACTAGTATATGCACTGCTCTGCTTAGCGGCCAGCCCTTTAATGCGAGTGGTTGGTGGTGAGTTGTTCCTTTCCGATATTAATTTCAAGGATCTTTGATCATGTATTGTGTAGTGACCTGTACATTGTCGTATGTTTTAGTACACAAGTATGAAGACGGTTGGAGTCAAAGCGGTTGATGATACGTTTAAAGTGAGTATAGTTACCTTTTACTCCTTCAGCAGCAACAACATTTAACGGTGAATTTATTCCGTAACAGAGCATGGCCCGTACTCTTCAAAGTCTACCAGCAGGCCTGGGTACTAACTCAAAGCACGCTGCTCCATTGATAAGGCACTTACAAACACACTGACTCTGTGGAGTAAAAGCGTCTCGGGGCTTTCTCTTTTGGTTATAAAGCGAAAAAAATGCGAGAAAATTTAAAGAAAGAAAGCAGCGTAAATGTTTCAGTACAGCAATTTCTGCTAAGAGCCAAAGGTAATTTAAGTCATTCATTTGCTGTGTTTTTTGATTTGCTGACAAACCTGGCTGTAAATTCTTAACCAATCAGAAGTAAAATCAAAACCAATCGTGCCTTTCTAATGGCGTGCAATTTCCCGCTTTTGGCCGGCGTTGGCTAAAAGTATTTGCTGTTAGATCTGATTTTTTCCTTTAAATTGTGGGACAATCGTAATTGGCCACAGTAATTTTAAATTCAATCTTTTTTTTTCTGTTGTGTTTCTCCAATCAGGTGGCTTTCAACCTTCAGGGATGGCACAGATTGTCTCTTGAAATTTCAAGGTAATTCTTTTCTTTTCAACTGATTATGCTTGGTGGCATGTTCGGTCCTTATTCCATTAGGTGGCTAGGTTCAACCCTAACCCTATTTAAGGACAAAGAAAGGGACCCTTTTTGGCCTAAAGCCGAAAAAATGACACCCTATTCAAGAAAAATTAAAATGTGGCTTGAAAGCGTTACGTATATTTACCCGCTTAACGGCTAGTAAACCTGTTACAAAATCATTTTGTTAATACTTAAACGGATGCATCAAGTTAAAAAAAACCCTTTCGTTTAGACGAGCGTTTTTTCAACTGATTACAATTAAGCTACCCTATTAAGGACCACACCAGGGACAAAGAAACAAAAGGTGGCATGTTTAAGGACCGAGAACCTCAAAACCATATTATTCCGCGGCACGTACCTATCGGTCCTTATTCCAGTTTATCCCGCACTGAAAAAGTGTTGTAGATTTTCTTTGTACAGATCGTTAGTAATGGCAAGGGTATACTAGAAAATGGTCCTAACTGCATTAAACAGAAACGTAATATTTCATTTTACTTAAAATCGAGTAATTTTCGCTCCTAAATTTAAGGATTTACATTCTAACACAGCACTGCCTTCTTTCTAAAGTGGTGCGGCGGGTATTCGAGTGAATGCCGTTTCCCCAGATACCCGTAGTAGCTGAAGTTATTTGCAGGAGATTGCATTAGACCAGATCAGAGTTGGGTCGTCACCCAGCCAAAATGAGAGTTTTTCCCAGTAACTACTCAGTACCCTGTGTCATTTTAAGCTCTGTTTTTTTTTTGGAGGAAGTCTGTGGCGTAGCGCCCCGATCAAACCTTAAGCAGTGTATCAGACTCTTGGCTTCTCGACTGGACTTAACGTCAGAATTCATGGCTTTGGGCCTTGTTATGAAAGATGAGGTACTGTTAAAGACATTTTCACTTCTTGTTATAAATAGGCCAGTTTGGAATTATCAAAATTCATATACTTGGAGAATAATGGAAAAGAAATGAATTCAGTTTATCCGTAAATCTCACTTCAATGTCCTTTGTTATTCCCCTCAGTCTCGAGAAGAGATGAAGAGAGACCACGGTTATGTTATCTGTAAAACGAAAAAGTTGGTCATTTCACGTGTTAATTGACAGAGGACGACAGACAAAATGTACCAAAAGTGTAATGCACTTGCAGAGTTGTTGTTTTGCCATCTAAACCTAGCTATAGGTTTTGTTTTTGTCTGTTTGTTTGTTTGACGGTCCCCTTGCCCTGACTGTCGTAGTTTTTTGTGGGTCGGGTGAAACGCCGTGTTTCATATGATCCGAATTTCCTGGATTACAGTTTGGGTCGACCTAAATTATTAAGTTCGCCCGTTGGGTAAAACGGCCGTACATTTAAAAATCCAGAACTGGTCTTTTCGCTGAGCAGCTTTGTAAGACAAATTAAATTGAGTCCTGCTCATTTAAAGTAAGGCGTTTGGCCCAGGCGATAAGGTCCCTATTTACTTGTTTTTCCAAAGTTCATCTTTTGTTTTACAGTATCCTTTTTTTGAGGCACACGGAAGCTTACCCGAGATGTTGAAAAAAGCCGTGACAGCGATATAGCAGGTGAAAAAATTAACTTTCCTTTCCAGTTTTTTCAATCCTCTTTTTTTTATTTTTCACAAATATTGTTTCAACACAACTAGGTCAATGTTCTTGGTAGCTACTTTAGAACCCTCGTATCTCAATGAGAAGGTTACAAGTTACAAGCCCAGGGTGCGGGTCCAGGATAAAACCTGATCGTTAATCGATAAGCTGCACGCGCGTGCTTCGTACCGCGGCGTACCGCCGAAATATGGGCCCGTTACGCTTCAAGTGTGAAGCATCCGGTGGATAATTACCTAACTATTGAAGAACCTGTTAATCGTTGTCTGTAAAACGGTAAAACCTGGCCTGTATCGGTGAGGGGGGCATGCGTTACTGAGATTCTTCGCTAGTAAATCGCCGAAAGGGACATGAAAACAAGGAAATAAGCGAATACTACCTGCGAATTTCACAAGAATTAGTTGTTATTTTTAAGTGAAGAAAAGTTAAGTAAACGTTTATTCTTTCAGTTCAGGTAGATCAAGATTCCAAAGCATTGATTGAAAATTGTGATTCTGTACACGAAAGGGTAAGGCATGCTGTCTATTTTGCGCGGATACCAGTTCAGCCTTGAAAAGGGAGCTTTGGAGATATGGGCAGGGATGGTCGAGTTGGAATACGCGGGGGAGGAAATAACTTGACTAACTTTGTGATGGGAAACAAAAGGGAACGTGAACGGTAAAACGTGTATTACGCGAACCCTCACGAGTGTCGGCTTAATAAAGGTCCGTTTAACCAAAAATGTGGCATGAAAAATGGGGTTTAGTACACCGTAAAACGTACTGTGTGACTGTCCACTTAATACAGGGTCCGTTCTCCTACAGATTTTCTCATACAACGGAATTTAAACATTTTAATCACAGCAAAATATAAATGGTTGAGAGAAACTAGATAAAAAAAGGCAGTAACTGCATGATTTAGAGAATGGAAAGTCCCTTGGACTTTTTTGCAATTATATTTTCTTTATTCTTTACCGTAGCTTGTTCAGTGCGAGAGAGCTGGCCTTGAATGGCATGTAAGTTGAATTGGTTTTTATATCTCTTTATCTTTATTTAAGCAAAACTCAATCTAAGTACGGACTCTGAGTTTCTTTAATTCTGATTTAATGAATCCACAACAAGATTCGGAACTCTTTTGAGTCCAAACTCGAAACAGCTCACCTCGAGAGTATTATCACATGACCTACTTTTGAGAATACAATACGCTTAGGTAAAGAGGTCTATTCCTTGTATGTCCTAAGAAACGCATCCTTACAGATGGATTTTTCCGAGTTCTCGTTGGATAAAACTTCTTACGCGATACGACCCAGGGAAAAGAATAGTTTGAATCAAATCAATTCGTGGTGAGGTAGTTATTCGGATGAAATGGTCCGATTTATAGAGCGCCTTTTTAATTGCCTAATACTAGTATAGTCTGTTTAGGTTTTACTTTGTAAGATAGTTTTTGATTGGTTGTGAGAAATCATGCTACTTTGTCAGCAACCAATCAGAAGTTACTTTCGCTGACGCGTTTTTCCCGCGCTTAGCTCTGGCTGCGCGGCCAATCTGCTTTGATATGTGATTGGTTCATTATCCGTTTGCTATAATTAGCAGAGTGTCAGAAAAAAACAAAAAGCAAAAAACGTTAAAATCTTCTTTTACAGGAAGAATTGCACAACGCCTGTGTTAAAGAGGGGATAAAAGGAAAGCGACTTACAAAGGTAACCTTTTTGTTGCAGCGTACTCAGTTTTTATCCATAAAGGATTTTAAACGGTTTCCTATGTTTTTGATGTGCGGTTCAGAAATATTCGTGAAGCCACAAGGGCGAGATTTTGATTTTCCCTCGGCTCATTTTCGTTCTTCGTATTTCTTTTCTCGCAGGCGGTGGAAAGCTTTGCTTGGAACATCCGGGTGTTAAAAGGCCAGGCAGAATTACTCTTGAACGCGAAAAGTGAATGCCAGGAATATCTTCGACAGGTAACTTAAGTTATATAATTACTATTTGAAATAGCCGGCCTTTTTCGTAGTTGCTTTATGCCTCAATTTTAAAACCTGGTTTACTGCAAAGTCTTTGATGTGAAAATGATTTTCTTTGTTTGAGCGATTGAAGGGAGTTGGTGGCCGTGACAATTTCCCGCCAAAAACTGGGTCTCGCGCTAGGATCCAGTCTTCCATCGTCTGATTGTGCGGTAGTCATGCAAAAGAAACTCATTTTCCGAAGAAAGCTTTTTTCCTTGGCTTATTTTGAAAGTGAGAGTTTTGGAACTCGGAAATGACCTACTGGCATTGAAGAGGTGAAGGTTTCCCAGACTTCTCTTAGTTTTACATTTTCCCATTCTGCCATGAAAGCCTGTGATCATTCCTTGATAGGGACGAAATATACTTGTTTCACGTTAGCCATGTAATAGGTTATTGATTCGTAAGATTTGACACTTGTGAACGGAACGTTAGCCCTTTAAGGTTACCTCTGTTCATTTTTCAATTTTGTGCTCAGTGCCCTGGCCATTGAATAGAACTAAGGCTGGAGGTGACCTTCTTCCTTCTTTTCATGTGCAAATCGTGTTATTCTCATGCTAACAAGCCCGCGAACAGGATCATGTACACGTCATCTCCAGCCTCGCTTCTATTCAAAGGCCAGGACACTGAGCACACAACTCTAGAATTGTCTTTTGTAGCCTCGAATCATAATTATGATTACTTTTATTGTCAGATACAAGAGGCAACTATCTCCACCGGTCTCGTGAAATCTGTTGGGTGTAACCTCTGACTCGCCCTTACCTACTGTCTAGATATTTACCCATGTACGCTGTAAATACTTCAATAACAGTTAATGAACATACTGAAGACGCCACCGCAGTGTTCTTGGTCGATTGTGGTTCGATAACAATTTAGATATGTCTATTTATAGTGTAGGTGTGTAATCTTTACTCTTGTCCTGCGCCGGTGTGCGTTAAATTTGCGTAAAATTTCTATCCGCCTTTCGCACTGGCAATGAGCGTTTTTCGGTGTGCTTGTGTACAATTAAGATTACCCAGCGTAAAAAGAAAAATCTGATGAAGTCTCTAATGATTTCAGAGCGTACTTAAAGAGTGAAAGGGATAATAGATATAAGAAATAGAACGTCAAATAACAGAGGATTGTAAATAGCCCTTTAAAGCGGAGTCATTATTACGTTAAAAGGTGAAAACGGTTCTTTCAAATATCCGTAGGATCTTGACTTTTATCATCCCCGAGTTGGGAAACGCCACCTAATATGGTTTTCCTGTATAGAAATTGTTGATTTCAAAATGGAGTCTCACCTTGCTGCGGCACTGAACAAAAAATGGTGGTGGTACAACTGCATGCATTTGCCACATTCAGCCATATTTGGTAACTGTTCACAAAATTGAGCGAAATATATAAATAACGTCTTAAACCATAAAAGGAACATTTAAGTAACTCAGCAAATGCAAAGGGAGACACGGATGGGTCAAAATTGAAGAAGATTAAAACGGATTGCAGGTGGGGTTTTTGACAGAAACCTGTTCTTAACAAACCGTTTTTGAAAGTTTATCTCTCTTGTTTATAGTTGTAAATATGAACGCTTGTGAGAGACACATTTGCTTCTCATGAATTTCTTCCCATACGTCAAGTTTCACAGCGAGTAATGAAATAAACAAAATGAACTAGTATACCGTGACACTGTCCATTTGAACGAGGACTCTTGTGTTGCGCTCACTATCGGGCGGATCGAGGATTTTTTTTAGGAGGGGGTGCACTCGTCTCTTGCCAACACCAATAAACTACATAGTTTTTTTTTTGCAGAATACCAGTTGTATTAGAAAACCGCAGGTCATCTGGGGGGGGTGCGCACCCCCTGCACCCTCCCCCTAGATCCGCCCCTGACTATGAAGTTAACCGTGAAGAGTAGAGTTGTATACTTAGATCTTTCGTTCGATGCTTAGTTTTAGGCTACGATCACACGGCATCGGGTGAATTTTCGACCGGCTATGACTTCCTTCACACGGAACGGTTCAATGTTTCCGTTGTTTCCACGAAGCTGACGAACCAGGTTGAATTTTAACTCTTGTCAGTGGTTTTACCATCTGCTTATGCGCAGAGTGCTGCTTTAGCAAATCCAAAATGGCGTCCCCCAGCGTCTCACCTATTTGACCTCGATTTTAGCATTCAAATTTTTGAACAGCTTCGCACGGTTAAGAACGGTTAAGGTGGTTACGTGTGAACGCGACACAAAAACATATGAATTTTCAACCGGTCGAAAATTCATCAAGTACTATGTGAACGTAGCCTTAAAACACGCATGTTAACCATATTTCGTTCCAGTTGAAAATCCAACAACAATGGTTCGGTCATGTTGCTCCGTAACTTAAGATAGTCAGCATGTGTATATATTTGGTGAAACTGTAAAAAAAGTGTGCCTATTTGAGACCTAATTGACAACAAGATATATTATTATTAATCATCTATAGTCATAAATCGCAACATTTCTGACTCTTTTTTCTTGTATTTTTTTGTGATTATTTATTTAATTTCATATATTGTAATATTGACCCCCACCCCCTCCCCCCCCGAAAAAATAAATACTGAAATAAACAAATAAATAAATAAACGTATATGTATGTTAAATCCCTACAGTGGAAAATTAAACTAGCGACAATTCGAAATAGCCTGTTCTGTTGAGAAGAAATCACAAGTGATGATCTGGTGAAGTACAGTATTTCAATACGGTTGGAACTACTAGATGGATACCCAGAAAATTGGGTTCTAAGTTAGAGTGGTAACGAGACGAGACTAAGATGACTCATTGGCTGTTTTTATTTACAAATGGTTTGCAGGAAAAATATTTGAAAACTATCGTTACAAATACTAAAAGTAGACGGGAGATTAATAGCCTGTTTACATGGAGGTGGGGGACCCCAGGTAGGTGAGGTAAACCACCTGTTCATGTAATCTCTCATACGGCACCCTACCAACCATGTAAACGTCATTAAATTAAAATGAGAGATAATATGGACAGGCGGCTTACCTTGGGTCCCCAACCTCCATGCAAATACAGTGGGAGATCCAGGGGAGGAGCCGGGGGAGAGGGGCCCGCCCCCCTTATTTTTGGACCAAAATGAGGCCGGAAGGATCGAAAAAAAAACTTTTTTTGAGGCCGGGCCCCCCTTATCTCAGGGTCTGTCTACTCGTTTAAGTATGGAGTAAATAAACTAAACAGTGTTAAATCTTACAAATATCTGGGAATGACACTAAACCCGTATGGAAATTTTAGTTTAGCTAGAGAAGAGTTAAAAATAGTTGGGCTTAAGGCACTTTATAAACAAAAAAAATAGATGGGTGACAACTTTAGAGAAAATATTATGCTGATGATTAAGCTATTCGATGCTCTGATATCCCCCATACTTCTCTACGGAAGTGAAATTTGGGGTGTTGACTGTAACGACCAAATAGGAAAAGATCCCGCAGAACTAGTTCAAATTAAATTCTTGAAATGGTTGCTAGGTGTTAATAAATACCGCAGCAACAATGCATGTAGGGCTGAAACAGGAAGATTCCCAATGAAAATCGAAGCATAATATAGGAATTTTAAGTTTTGGCTAACTCTAACCAAACACCCAAAACACAAATTATCACAGGTGGTTTATAATGATATAAAGTCGAGAATGAATAAGGAATTATGGAGCCAAAAAATCAAACGCGTATTAGACCAAATAGGGCTGGGATACCTCTGGACAAAAGCCCATGAAAACGACATAAGAATCTTGAACATTATCAAACAAAGACTGAAAGACATCGAATTACAAAGATGGTTAAGTGACGTAAACAATGACGTAAGAAAAGACGCCAACCAAAAGAACAAACTAAGAACCTTCCGAAAATTTAAAACAATAGAAAATTATAAATGTGAAGATTATCTCCGTCAAGTCACCTACGTCCGACAACGGATAACTCTAACTAAACTCCGTCTAAGTAATCACAAATTGGCGATAGAGACAGGTCGGTATGTAAGACCTTATAAGAAACCAGAAGAGAGGATCTGTCCTATCTGTAAAAAAGACGTAGAAGATGAAATACACTTTTTAACTCTGTGCCCTGTGTAGCAAGAAAAAAGAAGTACTTTATTTGAATACTTAAACAAACAATACAGAATATCAGCAAACAGAATGGCACCAGATGATGTTCTCTGTTGTTAATAAAACTCCGAGCTAGAACAAACAAGTGCAAAAGTTAATTGCAAAATACGTATTCGACTGCTATGAGAAAAGAAGATCATTAGTTGTTTAGGTTAACATTGATTATAGTTCGACTAGTGTGCAATTTGTGTTAGATTTTAAATTATTTGCATAAAGTCGATATACATAGGACTGTATAAGACTCCAAATAAAACATTGTCTTGTCTTGTCTTGTCTTGAGAGCGCCGCCCCCCCCCACCACCCCCCCTCTTTATCTGAAGGTCTGGATCCGCTACTGAAATAGACCCTAAGTTAGTCTTGTTATTTATTTTCAAATAGAAGTAATAAAACAGCTAATGGAATTAATTATCATGGTGATCTCTTAAGCACGATTCGGAAGTGCATTCCATGCCATTGCCCCACGATAAGCAAAAGCTCCTTTTAATGAGTCCGTTTTAGTTTTGGGCAACTGCATGTGGAACTTACCACAGTCGACTCCCGATAACTCGAACCTTCAAGGGAAATCGAAAAAAGTCTCACTTATCGGGAGCTCGAAGATTTTAGCCGTGAGTAAGGAAAAAACAGTTTTTGCTGCACAGTGAGCATTTTAATCACATTTAATTGTAGAAATGTTAAGTGAAAATTGAACTGATACTTCTAGATTATAAATCAGAACGTAGCGTAACAAAACATTGCCTGAATAGAGCATTCACTTTACTTTTTGGGAAGTAAAGATGTTTCACGTTAGATTTCTGACAAACACTATCATCCTCCACTATCGATCCAGTAGTAAACTACATGCCTACAACACGTCAATGGGAAATTCAAAATTCAATGTTTCGGACGCCAAGATACTGTTTTTTCGTTACTTTTTAAGGGCTCAAAACATGGTTTAAGTTTACCACGTCCGGCGGTATACTTTTTGCTCTTATCCTTACGGGCGTTTTTGCGCAACACTTTTGAAACAAAACTTCTGGCCCCTATACGGCTGCTTTGTACAGGACATTGCCATTATAGTTGTTCTAAAACAGGCAAACTAAAGTAGTGCACTTATCATGGCTAACTTGATGTTTAATATTGCTTCTTTCGTGAGTTTTTAAACCAAAAACAACTCACGCACAGACTTAAAAATTACAAAAATATTAAAAAAGACTTGGCGCCTGAAAGGGATTTGGAAAAGAGATATCTGCGATTAACCGCCCCTAAACATTTGATGGAACCTTTTTTCCGCGTCTTTAGCTCGTCTCACACGAACTTGCTGCGACGGTTTTCCAAGGGCGGAGAAGGAAAATCCTTTTCTTGTTTGCCATTGTCCAAGCTGGAATTTTGCGTTTACAGGGAGCAGCCGATCTCATTGGCTATTGGAGGTCACATGACATCATGTTCAAATGCGCCCAAGAAATTATAGGAAATATAAAAACCTTCATAAATGCTTAGCGCGAGGGAAACATATGTGTGGCTATACAGAAAATTACGTTGCGGAGGACTAAATTTTTTGAAGCCAACTCGCTCCCCACGAAGAAATAGCTTTTGAAATGTTACCTTTCCAACCTTGAACAGTGGTAATAAGACACAATTTTTGTGTTTTCTTTGGATTCAGGCTAAAGAAAGTGTTGTTTGGTGACATGATTGTGATAACGATCGAAGACTATTTCTCTCCTCGTTAGAGGTAAATTCATAGTTAGATATGCTTTACTGTTAAATGCTTATGACGGATAAAGATTTGTTACACGTCCACACGTATGCGAATATCTTTGAAAACGGAGAAGTTTTTTCCTCCGTTTTAGCCTTTGTCCTCCGTACCAAACATATACGGAGTTTACGGGCACCGAAAAAGCCTGTTTTCACTCCAGAAAAAACTCCACTCCAGAGTGGAGTTTTTTTTTTAAACGCCGGATTCTCGTTTGCGTGTGGGCGGACGAAAAGGAAGGTAGCATAAACCACTGTAAAAAAATACCATAATGTTCTTTTCAATGCTTCTTTGGGTAGTTTTCCAGGTAAATCTCACTTTTGTTACTTTGCAAGAACTGCACCGTACCATGCGTAAGCTTCAGGGGCATCCAACGGATCGGTTCCTCAAAATATATGCTCTACAGGAAAATTTTTGCTGGCTAGCAGGTCGTGGAAAAATAATTTGTCTTTGGAAGGAAAGTGTTCCTGGGAAATGAACAATTTAGGGTGTCTGAGGGGATTTGATGTATAGAATAGCTGCTATGTGCTTGTTCTCAGAAACCTCTTCCCCCCTCCCCCTTCTCCCACTGAAGGGTTAATTTTGCCCTTAGGCCACATCAAAATTCATGTGCCTCCCTCCCCCCCTTCACTGAAGGACTGAATGTTGCCCTTTGACTACACCCAAACTAGTTCAAACTGGCCAGTATATGTCTGGAGGTAAGTCTGCTGGGAAATTTCCTAGTAAGTCTGGTTGCAGGTTGTAGGTGCACCTTGCTGGCTGGGAACTCTTCTTTCAGTCTTGCCAGGAGTGAGGAACAGATACTTTTTTCCCAGCAATTTCCCAAAATGCTTAAAATGGCTTCAGAAAGCTTTATTCACGCTTTGTTTTTGTTTTCAGGTCTTTTCCCCAAAATTTCCGGTTGGGTGCCAATGAAGCTTCTTCAAAATTTGCATTTCCAGCGAGTTGACATACGGGCGCACAAGTGCTGACGTTAGCTTGATTGCAGTTAAGCTCCTTTTTTCGTTGGGTTTAGAAACCTACCTCTTTAAGCTTAAATGTTTGCTTATTTTTAATAAAGAAAAGAAAGTCAAATAATTCCTCTGCGGTGAAGCTGAGCCTACGATAAAACGAGTATTATGGTATTTTTTGAAATGGACTATTGCACACGCTCTAGAAGGGATGCTATCGTATTTTCATCGTTTTAGCGGTTTCATGTGGACGGCCGAAAATGATTCAAATACGCTACGTGTGGACGCGTACTTTTTAGGCGGAGGAAAAAAATCTCCGTTTTCAAAAATATCCAGATACATGTGGACAGGGCCTTTATATATTAAATTCCGTTGATTTGCACGAGCACCTCTTCCTCATAACTGTCTAACACTTCTACGACCAACAACAGACATGGTCGATACTTTCCCAACCAAACAAGGCCCGGTTGCTGTGTACATTAACTCCACATTTCCTGCTTGGTGTGATAATGATGATAGAGGCCTGGGTACTTAATCCTTTCAACTTCCAACTGAGCATTCACGACGCGGTCCACTAGGTCCCAGTCTTCTCCACCCCATTTGTACTTGAATTCCTCGGCATTCATTCCTTTCAAAATTAAGCAGTTAAAAAAAATACGATTTGTCCCATACAATTTTACGTAAGGACAACAGAAACAGCTTCATCTCTCTCCTATACGAAAAATTGGAAGCTCACCAGTTTAATCTTTCCCGGCGTAGACCTCTGGATTATATTTTAAGAACAGCCTTTTTCGTTACTGATTATTTACACAAACCGTGGTTTAAATTACAATCTGGAAGTTTTCAACGCGGATTTCCTAGCCGTGGCCTTTCTACATAAAGTCATGAAATAAAATACCTGCTCTATCGTTTGTTAGCTCGAAAGGAAGTTGCGGCCCTCTTCAATAGCTCTCCTATTCTTTAAGTAGGAGCCCAAAAAAATATTAGGAACCTTGAGCATTGACGACGAATGGGACGACGACCTACCGGAAGTGGCTGAGGCGAGTTGAACGCTACTGCACATCCTCGCTGGTTGGCGTCCAGCAGTGAACGTGAATAAATTTACTCGTATTTTAACCCCCTAAATCAACTTTCCTGAAAGAAATTTCATCCCAATTGCGTATTCGACTTTCAACGTATTTGTTCTTTGTATTTTTGTACTAAAAACACCAGAAAATCGACTGATATAGGACTTCGTAAACAAGCACCAGCGAGTCGAATTGAAGCTTTCTTGTATATGTTTTCTAGCTTTTCGTGAAGCAAAAAGGTTTACAGGTCAAAAAGATGCTAAATCATAATCTGTTCCGCCCTTTTACTCTCCAAGACTTTGATTTGTCTGCAAACATTAGTAACCTTTGGTTCTATTTTTCTTTGTAAAGGAGATGGAGTGGTCAGACAAACATGTTTTTGTGCTGTATGCCGAGAAATGTTAGTTATGGAACCCTACCAACATCCGCATAGAAGCAAGGAAAGGGGAGATGTATGGAACCAGATAACTGTAGACCTGAATGGCCTTGATCATCCGAAATTCAAAGTCAATAAAAGATCGATGAGAGACATACTGACCTTGCTGATTACCAAGCATGAAGCGAAAATACGCCAGGAGGAAAATACCACTGGAATCACTTGCAAAGATACCGAACTAGACCTGTCTCTTGAAGAGATAATTGACAGGAGAAGTTGGCCGACAAAAAATCTCCGAGGTAAAAAAAAAAGAACAGGAAGAAGGAGCAGCTGGAGAGGAACACAGGCAAAGCACCATGGATCGTTTAGGACAGACCGTGAAAAGACATTTTGAACACTTATCTCTCGAATTTTCCCGCCGTGAACGACGTTCTCGATCCAGTCCTTTCACGGTGCAGTTCGTCTCCGTCGTCTCTTTCGTCGCCGATGCTCAGGTCTCTATTATTAGGTAGATCACGTGACTCAACTGTGACGGTTGATGATGATTTTTTTTGAACTTACCGCCAAAACGCATCCAGTCCGATTTATATACAGCAAGAAGACCATACCCATCCATCTGCCAAAAGCCTTGATGATCAATATGTGTACTTTGACAGTCTAGACGTCCCACTGCAGGAAAGAAAGCGATTCTTCCTTCTATGGTGTTCTGTTGAAATAAGGAAACTAAACTTGATCTTGTTACTTAAACGTAACAAGAAATCTAACAGTGTTGTTGGAAGAAATTCTCCAACAAAATTGACGATAACATTTTACTCTAAAATGCAACAGACAATTGACATTAAGATCTTTGAAAACACGTACTGCAAAAACGGTGTTGATATAAAAAAAATGGGAAGTTATCCGCAATTGCAAAAGAAGTGTATCTTGCTATAGAACGTTTTCAGTCACGAGGCTAACAACTATGCAAATTTGTTGGAACGAGGAAAAGTTTTTACAATTCAGAAAAAGGTTCAATTTCTACAGGATTGATTAACGACACCATGGTGGACGTGACGTCATGCGAAAAGCCCAGTTTATAACTACACGTATCAACTTAAACTGCGTAGCAGGCGCCAGGTTTTTTTAAGGGCGAAGGAGGAAATCTAGGCCTGTAATAAGGTAATTACCGGCGCCTGCTAGGTAGGGCACTATTAACTCACCTTTCGCACGCTGTCCAGAATATCAACGGGCACATCAATGTGAAGATCAAACAAGAACAACAGATCATGGGCACTTTGTATTTGCTCTACAGCTTTGTTCAACGCCAGCGTCTTGTAAAATTTACCGGTCAAGTTGATAATAGTGTGCCTGCTCCTCAGAAGGGCGGTGTCGAACGCTTTGGCGAAGTCGATATCTCGACTCTCAAAATCAGCAACAATAACGTGGAAGTTCTTATCACCCGTTAATAAGCTGGCAACCGTGAGATCATTGATGAAATGATAGACCCATCTTCCCTGATCTTTGACAGGGAGTATTATGTAAACCGTGGCGTTTCTGTTCCACTTAATTCCCTTGGGAAGACACAAACTGTTCGTTCCCTTTTTTTGATACACGTGCTCAGAGAGGCGATATGATTTTTCACTGTGAGGCAGGCCAAGTTCCAGATCAACTGAATAACGGTCCCCATAAACCGGATCTGATTTTTGTAGAACTTTGTGAATTCTCTTTAAAAAGTAATTCCTGAAAGAAATTAGAATATGAGATTAAAAAAAGCTAAAAAAATTTACAAACGTAGCAGGAGCCCATCAAATGATGGGCTCCTGAACGTAGACAATCCATCAATGGAACTTTCACGCAAGGAGAAACTAATGTCGCCACCATTTTTTGTTAATTATTCTGAGGTGCCCCTCAAAGTTGTTCTTTCTAGTTAAAGACAAGGATCTAGTTATACTGTTAGCTACATGATGTCTCTTTTTTTCACCGAAAGCGTTTTTAGCGCGATGTTCTTACGGTTGACGGTTGAGTGTATGAACGTATTAATCTTTTCAAATCCAAATGAGTAAGAAAGAAAGAGAAGTATGGGAATTTGAAATTTTTTTGTTTGCGCTCTAGTCTAAGTAGTGACTCCCGTTAAGTCACGGAGCCATGGTGAATTACGTGAGCTGTCAACGAGTTAACTACGATTAAGAATAAACATATTTGAAGAGTTCCAGTTCTGTGGAAGTGCATGATTTCTGCTTTGCTCTATAGAGTGTTTTCACTCACGTGGCCAGCATCTATGCAAATTTATTGGAACAAAAGAAAGCGTTTGCATAAGAAAAGAGTTCAACTCCCAGAGGATAGATGGTTTTCACAGTGACGTCATCAAATTGTAAAGTCAAAATAGCGAGGTTTTACGAATTCTTATTTACACTAGTTGGAAGATAAACAAAAAGTAAATCTTTGTACAAGTTTCCATTCCCGTAGCATGTTTCATTTCGAAAATACTACAATTTGAACTTCCGAGTTCGCACAGTGCGTGACATCAAAATAGGAATGCTGTCTCGTTGAAAAAAAGCCTGTCCTCTTGATTTTCAGCTGAATAACCATTTTAAGTATTAAAAGATATGTTTATGCGCACGTATGCTAGTTCTCGAGTGAAAAGAAAGAGCTTTTATAGAAAAAGTGAACTCCAGATGTTTTTGTTGATTTCCGGCGGTCATATTGGTGGACCAAAAGGGTCCACCAATATGGCGTCTCCATACAAAGCTCTACAAAGGCGCGTGAAACGTTTTGGCAAATAACTCAAAAACTGTGGGCCACAAAGACCTGAGACTTGGAAAAATTGTTTATATATTAGTCTTTTATAACATTTCATTTTCTTGGCTTCTTCCACTGGACGGTTTCCAATTTATTTTTTCGTTGCGTGACAGTGAAAACGATCTATTGGTTTGGGACACCAACATGGCCGACGTTTCATTGTTTTGGGACACCAATGGCCGCCGTGATGTCGTGTGAAAACACTGTATAACGCACAAGTTACTAACGACCCTGTATCTCTGGTATTGTTTGTGACGTTGTTTGCCCAGAAGTCGACTATCAAAACGCGAACACTGTCCTCAGCGCAAAAGACTTAAAAACACACATGTTCGTGTCTCATTGTCATGCGTTCATGTCAATCAAAAGAAAAAAAAAACCGGAAGCGGAGGCACACGCAGTGTTCTACCGAGGTTCAGTCCCATTCCGTCCTTCACTTATTCGAATTATCCCGTAGATTATCCGTCTATTTGTCCAGGGCAACGCCGCGCATTTCGTGAGAGTTAAAGACGAAGAACACCCTAAAGACCTAATAACGTCACATTAATAAGGATTTCAAATCTGCGCTCGCCAGTGTCACTGCGGTTATTATAATGTGATAATGTCTAGACATGGAAAGACCTTGTGGACACACAAAGGACCTAAAAAAGTAATGAGAAACACACTTTTGTTCATTTCATCAATGCGTCTTTTAGCTTCGCCTTCAAGTTGGAAATGTCAGACTAAACGCTTTTTCTGATCTCTTTTCGTGCATCCTGGAGTTCCCCCATAAGCGCTGCTAGACTGGTTTTTGAGGTAATACGAGTTCGGCCGGGTAGTAGGGAGCTTAAGCGACTACGAAGACGACCACAACGTCGAAACAATAGGTTAAGTGATCAAAACAACAGCTGTCCTACACGTGCATCGCGCTTTTTAGTACATTTCTTTGACGTGAAACGTGAAACCTCCCATTTGCCGTTTTACGGAGACGTGGACATACGACGACGAATTTTCCTTCCTCTATTTGAACCTGAATAAAATCCTTAAGAATTCAACTCCAAGAAAAGTCGCCTGCTTTTGACATATTGAGCGGGTTCAAATAGACGCGATTAAGTTTGAAAGAACGCAAATTCATTTTTTTTACCAACGTTTTCACTGCCTTCGTCGTCGTCCTTGCTTTAGGTCCCTAGTAACGTAAAAATGACGCGGCCTCAGGCAAAAATGAATTAATTTAAGGGGCACGTCGCCAGGTCTACATGTCAACGATTAGTTAGGTAACCTAAATTTTTTTTAAGATGTTTTGGTTTTATTATCTTTAAAGTCAAACAAGTTATTTAACGTCCTTAGCCGGTTCGCTTGCAAGGATAAAAACAATGCTCTTATACACCTGTAGCCTGTGAACAGGCTCTCTGTCTGGGGAAAAAAGACCAAAGGCCTGTTCACAGGCTAATACACCTGTATTAAGTTTACTGAATATTTGTCCATTTTTTTATGAGTGTTTTGATTTGTGTCTCCCACACTTCTTAACCATTGGTTACTGCTAGTTATCATCTTTATACATTTAATGAAATTTTTATGTAACTTACTCTGAGGAACTCAGACGAAGTGCATCAACCATGTTATCCACGACTGACCGAACTACCTCTCTGTCTGCGACTCGATTTGGACGAGTCCACAGCATTCCGGTGTTTCTTGACATCTGCGTATCGTCCGGTGGGTAAACATTTGATTCAAACACCGTTTTCTTCCCTTCATAGCGATCAACTTTATCACCTGGTACAAAACTACTCTTGTAATTGCAGGAAGGAAGAAAACTGGCTTTCGAAATGAAAGGCAGAGAATAAAACTTGACAAATTTGTTGCTGATGCGGTTGGATTCTTTATGGAACTCTTGCTTATATCGCGGCGAAAGCACATTGTGCAGTGCTACTTTTTTCTCTTGTATATGCGATATGTTCTGCAGAAATGACGAGAGGTATTCTGAAGTGATGATCCTAAAATCTTGATCTTTGTCAGATGTAGTCCAAAATACACGCACGAACCCTTTGCCAATGCCCTATCAATCAATCAATCAATCAATCAATTTATTTGCCCTTTTTTTACATACAATATTGAAATCACAGGGAGCCGATTGGAGCCCGAACGCTGTTTTAGCTAATAGAAAAAATTGGATGTTTTTACGCTGTATTAGCTAATAAAATAATAAGATGCATTTTCCTTTGTTCATGTCACTGTCTTTATAAGTCGTTTTGGAAGGGATTTGAATCCGATCAGAGACGGTTAATAGTTAACAATATTAGAAACGCGAGACGAAACTTGAACATCTTATTTACGAAGCACCATACACCCCACCCGTGTCTCCCTCGCGCGCACCCGTTCTCTCTATCACCCACTACTTCCAAGCGCCTGCTACGCAGGCTATTTGATAACCAGCAATGTTAACCGTCTCTGATCGGATTCACATCCCCTCCAAAACGACTTAATATAAAGTATCGGCGCTTCGCGCCTCGTTGACGAACGCGAACCATCAGTATGGATAAGAAAAAAACATCTTCTGGAACCCAGGACACTTATAAAGATACAGGAACAAAGGAAAATGCATCTTATTATTTTATTAGCTAATACACTGAATACAGCGTAAATATATCTAATTTTTTCTATCAGCTAAAACAGCGTTCGGGCTCCCTGTGACAATAATTACACAGTCTTATAATTTTAAAAATATACTTGGGCAGGAACTCTTAGCAAACCCTGTAGGGCTTTTTGAGGAGAGCCCCTGGACAAGTTTTATACAAGTATGATTGTAATTTAGAATTACATGTCTGTGTTATAGATTACATCGATAAAGTATGTAGCAGCTACTCACATTTTGGTGTAAAACCTCGACGTAGTATTTCTTGTTAGCTTGAAGATGGAGTGGCTCTTTGGATCTTTGTTCAGGATATTTATCTAACTCATCCTTACCCGTCCAAGCTAATGCGTTTTCAGTGAATACACGAGCAACCAGCCGTTTATTATAGGGATTTTCGTCTGTACTTATCCACAACTCCGAAGTGTCGTCAGACGCGATCGCAAAACGATACAAACCATTACTTTGTGGATGTAAATATCCAAAGATTTTCTGACCGTAGTCCACGCTGTCGTCTTCAATCTGAAAGTCGTTGATGAACTTCTCCTCATCAGGATATTTTGGAAAGAACAGTGACTTTTTTAAATATGTTACGTTCGAACCGCATTGCATTCGCCAAACGTGAACATTGAGAGCGTGTGGTACACGTGCTGCGACAGTATTCTCGTCCTCAGAGCCAATGCCACCGCTCGTCCTTTGAAACGCAGAGAATTCGTCAACTGTATCGTCGCTATGTCTTCCCCAAAATGTAAAGAGTAAAGAAAACGAGATCGAGCCTGCAGTTAGTGCGACAATCAAAGGCCTCACAGCTTTTTTAAATCTTCGGAATGAAAGAGGGCGTCGAAGCCACATAACTTGGATCGAATGTTGCGACCCCAGGCTTGTGATTCAGTCAGACAGCCACCTGTCACGGGATGACACTGTAAACCAATAAATAAATACTTTCTTTACTCTTATTGATCGTCGCCAAACAACTCCGAGTTTTGAAAACAAAGGCATGGGTCGCACTTGGGAAAAGTTTTCATCTTTGCCGGCTAAAAAACCCCAAAAATTCGAAACCGCAACCGGAAAAGAAAACGTTTAGTCCAACCGAGGAGGGTCGCATTAGTGGGAGTTAATAGTTTTTGCTTTGACACATTGAGAACTTAAGAACGCCAGATACCCGAAAACATTTTTCTCTTCTTCGTCCGAACCTTTGTCGAAGGATCTTTTTCCTCCATTCCCAGTTTCAGGAGGATGGGACAAATAAAGAAGACCAGAAAGTGCTTGGATGCGAATAGTGCATTTGGCTTGGAGAATAACAAACCTGTGAAGTGTTTGCTTGTGTAGACGGGAAGTGGTTCGCCCTCAATAGAGCTAGTTCCCGTAAAAACCTTAAAATAGCGAAGGTTTATAAGCGAGTGAAGTTCTTGCCTGTAGAGAGTTTTCGAAAAAAACTTGAAATGACGAAGGATAGCCGAGTAGAAGCCTCTTCGCGAAGGCCTAAAAATTCGACCGCGTTTACTTTAAATTGATCTTGTTTCAAATGGATCACGTTCATGACAAGGCGCTGGGTGTTACGAAAACTAAGACCCTCGAAAACTAAGACCTAAGACCTAAGACCCGTCTTAGTTTTCGAGATTACGAAAACTAAGACCCCCTAAAATCGAATCCGTCGAAATATAAAGTCAAATTGTAACCGAAATAGGTCTGATCTGTCAAATTATATCATGTTCGATCCTTTCCACCGAGTTTTAGGTCAAATTTAACGGTAAGACCCCTCTTAGTTTTCGTAATTACGAAAACTAAGACCCCCACCAAAACAATCTCTAAAATTTCTACAAAGTCGAATTACGACCGTTTGAAGACTATAATCCGTAAGACAAACAAAAACTACTATCACACGCGTGCTGATCTACGATTAGCCTGTTCCAAGCGTTCAGATAGTGGAGAGCGGTGTGGAGTAGAGAAAGCGATGAAAAGTAGAGGGGGACTGGGGAGAGAGGTGCGGGAACGCTTGTAAGAATTCTTAACAAAAGTGCGTTCCGGTATACCAGATCCTGGTATACCCTCTGATTGGTTGATTTTGACAGTTTTTGTCAACAGTGGAGCGTCTTCGATCACAGCGAGAAATGCGATATGGCCGTTATGACAGACTCTACGTGCCGTCACGCAGAATTCAAACTCGCAACAAACACAGCGCTGAGTGACTTTCCAAACGTGGAGGCTAAAAGCGAAGAGCAAAGAAACTGTTTAAAACACGTAGTCGGTAGGATAGATGTCTTAGCAATTTCTCACCGACTGGCTTTGGAAAAATTCTTATTTTCCAGTTTTTTCCTCGAATAAAGCGTGCGTTGGAATGAAGGCAGGATAGAATGCCATTTACGATTGTTGTGGTAACTCCGTTGATTACCATCATGGACCAAGTGGAATATTTGAACAAGTCAGATCGGAGTAGCGGCGGCAATGATGGGAGAAGATATGGATGAAGCCGTTAAAAGTGGAAGCTGTGAAATTGTTTACTGAAGTGCCAAATCGTGGTTGTCTAATGAATGGACAAAAGGACTTCAAAAAGAAAAGCTTGGAAAGCAAGTTGCCGCTATCGCTATTGACGAGGTCCACTCAATCACCGAATAGTAAATTTTCCCTTCAATTGTTGTGCATTTTCATTGCTTGAGTTAACGATCTGTATTGAAACGGCTTTCTATCGAAATGAGCGATATTTGTTTGACACTTGATTCATAATTTTTTGTCACGTACACGCTGAAATCATGTTTTTAAAGCCGTAAATAAATTCATTATACATGAATACTTCTCCAGCCTTCTATTGTCTGAAAGTCTTACATTGGGTTTTTAGTAAGATTATGTATACATAATATTAATTTCTGATCTGACAAACTTCGATTTATTCGCAAGAAAAATAATAAATGCATCGGGCTGTAACACCAGTCTTGATTGACAAGTGAAGACCACCTACAGCTGATGCGGTCTGACTGGGCGGAAGAGTCTATTTAAAACAAATCTAACAGGCGTTCCCTCTCTCACCTCTCCTCCTCCCTCGCTTTTACTTTTTCGCGCTCCCTTTTACTTTGCACCGCTCCCCACTATCTGAACGCCTGGAACAGGCTAATCTACGATCCGCTAACAATTTGTAGACTTGCTTTAAAAAGAGGACCAAAGCCATAGACTTCCTACGTATCTATTGTACACTGAAAATATGCCTTACCCCTATTGGTCTTTAATTTTCTTGTTTATCCTTTAAATCATGAAATTGGCTTTCCACTGGAGATGGATGTTTTTCTTCGTGTCTCTGCGATCGAGATTGCGTTACCTGTAACGATCACCTGAGTGGGTTTGTGTGCAGCGGTTGTCGTGTTTATTTTATTGTTCTGAAATTAGAACTCCAATTCTTGAGACGATGCCTTGCTAGTACAGGAAATTCATTCACTCATTCGTTTTTTTAATTATTATTTCATGAGTGATTTTAGCGATTATCCCTCACAGACTATTTCTCCTTGACCTCCACCCCTACCCCTCAACTACCTTTGCATTGTAACGAGGTGATCTCCGGGGTGGCAACGATAAAAACAAACGCTAGAAAAACACAATGGAGCATATTCTCCTTTTTTCGCCCTTTTTATAAAAGCACTTTTCTATCTATGACCTGGCCAGAAAAGGAAAAACAAAATCCCTTTTTTTGTGTGATGTTTAACCGATAACGCCGTTGACCACTTAGCGATCAGGCATTCAGGTCGCAGCGACATGTTAGCCCGCAACGAAGACAAAAATCCATCTCTAGTGGAAAACCAATTTTATATACTTTAAGGATAAACAACCAAAATTATAGGGGTAAGGCATATTTTCAGTGTACAATTATACGTAGGTAGTCTATGGCTTTCATCCTCTTCTTAAAGCCACAATATTGATAATGTATATCTACAAATCGTCAGAAGAAGCGGATCGTCTAACACGCGTATGATAGTAGTTTTTGTTTGTCTTACGGATTATAGTCTTCAAACGGTCGTAATTCGATTTTGTAGAAATTTTAGAGATTGTTTTGGTGGGGGTCTTAGTTTTCGTAATTACGAAAACTAAGAGGGGTCTTAGTTTTCGAAATTACGAAAACTAAGACCCTTAAATTTACCGTTAAATTTGACCTAAAACTCGGTGGAAAGGATCGAACATGATATAATTTGACAGATCAGACCTATTTCGGTTATAATTTGACTTTATATTTCGACGGATTCGATTTTAGGGGGTCTTAGTTTTCGTAATCTCGAAAACTAAGACGGGTCTTAGGTCTTAGGTCTTAGTTTTCGTAACACCCCAAGCTCGAGTTTTCCAAAATCTGCCTGCCCCACCCAAGGACTACGGCGTCTTTGATGTTTTTGCCGATTTTCAAAGTTTTTTCTAACTTGAAAAACTCGGGGTCGCACTTAGCTATGTCCACCGATGACAGATTTCTACCGCAAGGTAAACAAATTCTCCCAAAAATTTGCCAAGTGCGACCCATGCCTCGAAAAAAAATTCCAATTTTTGATAACAAACACCTCAAAAACTTTTGTCGCTGCACAGGTAACCCAAGCCGCGAAATATGAGCGTCGGCGAGCATCGGCTTTGAACGGCTTGGAAACTAAAATTTCGAGGACGTTTTTGGACTTTTTACATTTAGGGCATGAATTTTTCGTCATTTCAGGCCATGGAACCTAAAAATGAGCCTAGCTAGCTGTAAAAAGGGGCAATACGGAGGCAATACGTCCTAGCCGGCATGATCACATGCTGTTTACGGAAAATTCCCTCATCCATGTCAGGAAATTCTGTATTTTAAAGCCTCCCCTAGGGCATGACTCAGCAATTGAGGACATTTCTGCTATGTTTTCATTGTTGGTTAGCATGCAAGGATTTTTCGCATGCCTATCGTCAATGATTTGCTCACTGGTAATAGAGGGGGTGGCCCCAGAGTGGTTTTGCATTGAAATTGGCATGCAACAGAATTTCGCATGCCCTGTAAGCATAATTTGAGGTTCTGTGACCTTCTCACCCAGGCCGCGAGAAGCCTAGGTTCTAGTAATAAGTAATTCATACCCAGCAAAATCTCCGGCATGCCGGGCATGCCAAATTTTCTGACATGCCCGGCATGCTAAATTCTCTGGAATGCCGGGCGTGCCATAATCTGGGTCATGTCGGGCATGCCAAAATTGGTCTCTGGCATGCTCTCAACGCACAGGTTATAATTCCTTGAATCTACAGATATTTTAAGCCTGGCTAAAAACAAAAAAAAACTAAACAGATCACAGTGCTTATCTTTTGATGTACGGTTACACAATGACGTCATTGCTATTCCTTTCATTTTCATAGATTTGGTTGTCCCAGAGAACTTTAAATAACAAAAGCTCTAATTCTCACAAGCAAGTAAAACCCCGAGGGATTCGTTCGTAGTAATAAAACAGCGTCATCGTGGAGATGATCTGTTGGGCAGTCCAAATTCACCAAATCAGAACGTCTTTGCAGTATTAACGTCGTACTCTCGTACTGACTTGAACGACCTGGTAAGCTTAATTTTCACCAGTCTTTTAATGCTGTTGGCCGGGAAACATTCCGACGCCATAAAACTTAAGCATGGATAAGTTCATACTGAGAAGATTTGTTATCTTATTGTTTAAGACGCTTTTCCCCGATCAAATTTAAATCTGGACCCAGAAATGTTCAGTATCGGTTTGAAATAAAAGGATTGATCTTTGATTGCAAGTTAAGTATTCTATTCTATGCATGAACAACGTTGTTTTGTTGTGCTTTTTATTTATAAATCCAGGATTCTGTCTTCAGTTTGGCCAGTCGATCCCGTGACACACATTGTAACAAACATGACTTTT